AGCTGTGTGCGACTCGAAGCGCAGCGTGGGAACTTCTTCGAAGTGCAGAGGTTCTCAATTTCGAAATTTCAAGCCAAAAGCTCTTATCAGCTGAGTGGAAAAGTTCTATCGATTTTGCATGGTCAAAATACAGTAAAGCCGAACATCCATCTCCCGAATATCCCATTATCTGAACGTATTACAATTTTTATCTACAAAGTGACATACTTTGCTCATACGTCGATAGTAATGTTAGGAATAAATTATTTAAAAAAGCAACGTCATCGATAGATCGTATGAAACCGAGAAAACTTTCGCGCATCATCTCGCGTCTCTAGCGTTCTTCGATGGTTTTCTTAGAAAATGAATGAAGCGTCGGTACGTGGCAACGACGATAATGATTAAGGAAATATTCGTGTACATGGAAGCTGCCAAAGACGGAGAAACAGTAGTCGACGTATATACCTACATACTTACACGCGTCTTCGGTTCGCGCTTTATTTAGCAAGTTCTTGCTGCGTTTTACGACCGCCTTAGCTATGTGTTTTACAACCCGCTCGCTTTACAATGCGCCATCGCTAGAGGTTTTTACAAGCATCATTTATCTAAACGCTAGTATCGGATGTGTGGGTAGTTTACATATGGGTTGTTTCATAATGCACGTTCGTATCTGCTGGATTGGGAAGAGACACAATACGCGGTCGAATATATGTATTATTTTCGTTCTTTCCTACGTATCTTCATATACGTATCTTCTTATAACAATACCGTATGAATACTCGAAACTGAATAAAGAACGACAAAGAATACGATAAAATATCGTTTTTCTCGGGTGGTAGATACGACACTTTAAGAAAAGGGGACAGAATAGTTTAACAAATTTCCAATTCATTAATACGTTTAAGTAGCACAGCTTCAAAAACTTTTAGGTAAATCGTCGAATTTTACAGATTTTAGATTTTTCTCCGTTTAGAATTCGTGATACCTATTTTGTAACGTGGTGGGTCGCGAATGTATTACTATCGTTATTTATTAATCCGTTAACCGAGTCTCTTACAAAACTCGATTCGAGATAATATGCAGTATATTTTAGGAGAGCGGAATACCGCTGCCTTATATAAACGACACAGGAATCTAATTCGATAATTTCGGTATTCGCGGTAATCTCGTCGATGATGGAAATATTTCGAGAAGACCGAAAGGACGAGAACGGGGTACGCGCGATCAGAGGATGCTCACGTATGAATCAGTCCATTTATTTAAGCCGTTGCAGCACACGCGTACATCTATGGCGGTGTGCGTGTCCCTTGCGCACCACGTCTTGTGCATAGATCGTCGTTCCCTCTTTCTCCCGTCATTCAGATACTCGCCATGAATGAACCGCAAACTCTTCGTTCGCCTCGTAGTAAATACTTTTTCCCACACGTTTCCCGCAACAATTCAGTTCACCGTTCAAGGTTCGAGGGTAAACTCACCTATCAACTGATCGTTGCTTCTTTATCTTTTTACACGATCCGTTAAATTTTCCATTGGGGTAAGAGGAAAGAAGGATAGTTACAACGCCAATGGCCAAGTAACTGTTCAGAGAACTTCGCTTATACCACGAATTTCGACTCACGATGTGTACTTTTTCCTAGGCAAGGTTTGGCGAACACGATTTAAGAAAGGTTAACGAACCCCAGTTTCCTCGATAGCCACGATAGTAACATTCGTGGGTAAATGTTTTACGAGTGCTGGCTGAAACGTTAACAAGCCGCTTAGTCCTCCTGTTTATTACCAGCGGAGGATAGCGGCTCCGTTATTTGAGCGTGTGAAAATCAGCCGACGTGATATTCGTTATTGATTCCATGATATCCCGCGATTATTATCCGCGCGTAATTAAACGCGAATAATTGGGCGATCGAGACCCTCGTCGATTCGTACAGTCATTCGAGCGAGTCGAAGCAACAAAGAGTTCGGATGATCGGAAGAAGGGACAGGGGAAGAAAAAAATGTCGAATTCATTGGCCAGTTGGTTAATCCAGAAGTTTATCTTTCGCTCGTTCTATAACTGGGTCAACGCACTCGAATCTTCCGTGCGAATCTTCTACGCTCGTACATATACATTTCGATTTCTCTCCTTGACGTCACTGCTACTCTATTGCTGCGTTGTTCCAAGCATTAGCGCGGAGACCGCTCGCGAATCGAAGCTAATCGCATATACAGTACTTGGAAGTAGAAGTCTTTCGACTATCTACGAAAATAATTTCATAATGGTAAGCAATAATTAGGCCGTGAACGTTGATGTATTTATGAGAAATTTAGATGCAAATATTTCTAATATAATGTAAAAAAAAAAAAATACATAAATGTATAAAATATTCAAGGCAACGTACTCGCGATAATACGTGATAGGTGAAACAAACCATTATTTAGCCTCCATTTCTTGGCTTATATTCGGAAAAATTTGAATTTGCTCAAACTTTCCCGGTCTATCGGCAAAACGTTAAAATATTAAGATCTTAAAATATCGAAACAAGGGTAAAATTACGACGTAAGAGTTCAAAGCCTACGGCAAACTGAAAATAACATCAGGTATTTGCATATTTATTTATAACGACAAAACGTATGCGTATTATTACTTTCGCCGCAGTCCATACATCGCTTCAAGTTTCACAACGATAACGAAAGTTCGACCGCGATTAGGCGCGTTCGCTTGCAAAATTGATAGACGAAATTAAACAACGAAGGCACGTTATTTTTTGTATTAAAGTCGACGGTCTCGATATCAGGCAGACGGCGAATAAGCAATAAATCGTTTGCGTCATAGCGCCACCTGCGCCAAGCTCGAATGCTTAGTTGCGTAAATACCTGTAGCGTACGTGTACATATATGTGCATTCGCAGGAAATCGTCGTGAGCTCGCGTGTCCACATCCACGCATCGTCATGAAAGGAAACGACGAAAAGCAGCACGCGCAACAGGTCTTTTCAGATTCTACCGACACGAGTAAAATGAAAGGAATCCGTGCAAACTTTAACATACTCTTTTTACCCTTCTTCACCTTCTGTCCCGCACTCGTCTAAATTACTATTCGCTTAAACGCGTTACCGTGTCCTACACGTGACACGCGATTAGCGTCAAGCCGCTACACATCGTCGCGACTGAACGAGACCGTCCGAATCCACTTCGTATCGAAATACGCCATTATACCACGTGTTACAGCCGCTTAAAATTTTTAGCAGCCTACCGATTATTTTTGCCACGTTCTCTAGATCAAATGTTTCCAACGAATCGTTGCTTCCTTTAAATTGTAATTCTCTATCTCTTGGCTTATTTTTCCAAAATTCACTGATACAAACATCCTATTTAAAGTCTCATTCGCTGAATTTCGAATTTGCAGCCCAATACGCATAGGTACTATTCCTCTAGTTACATTTGTTAAAATACAAATTTGCATAAACGTCGAATTTAGTCATTACGAAGGAAAAATATGACAATTACGTATGTAATTTAGTTTATCTCGTTGTCGAAGATTATCGCATGGACGATTTGCTATTAGCGTAGTTCAGTTTCGTAATCTTTACTGCTCGTATCGATATCCGATTCCGTTGAACGGCCCCTTTCCCCTTCGCGCTAGGCTTCCCCTTTCCCTCGTCCGTGGCTCTGAATGCGCGGCGTCAGAATTCTTATCGAGTGGCAGAGAGCACGTTTACGTCAGAGGTGACCACACCGGAATAAGTTTTGTCCGGAGAGGGCACACGAAGATACGGTTGCACGGAAAACGATCGTTATTCCGCCAACGTTCCGCTTCTACTTCTCTCGTTATCATTCGGAGCGGTGTGCGTGCAACCGCGACTCTTTAAGTCTATTCACTGGCCTCGTGTTCCTCTTCGCGAGCGTCGATCGAGGAAAACCCTCGTTCGACCGTTCCGGAATACCGGACGTTGCGAAACTCGAGAAACCTCGATTCTGATACTCCTCGTCACGTTTAAAACAATGTCAAGATGGAAACGTTCACTCGGTTTATATTTGACATTTTTGTGATTCTAATAAAGTGGAACTTTTGTACCAAGCTACGACGGAAGTTGCGATAAACGCAGTTCTCTATCGACCGACGAGATTCGGTTAGGGAAAATTCGAATTGTTCTATCGGTATCGGATACGTGTCCGCCCACTCGTCGTTACCACACAACGCGCACGCTTCCTCCCAGCTCGACTGATTTTCCTGTAGGCCAAGATAGAATCCGTTACAGTATACCTTATGCGTGCATTGGCACATACATTTGGACACTTTCAAATTACTACGAACCTAGAGGTTCGCGAGGGTATTTCAACGCTTATCGTAGAAATGTTTCACGGGTGTGTGTTATATAGAACACTGAAATTTCTCTAGCACCGTAACGCGATACGACTGTCGTTATTAGGCAATCGACAACTGAGAAACGTTCTTTTATCAGAACGTTGAAAATATGATAACAACATCAGGTTTCTGATCGAGTTACACCATACAGATGTTCGTATATACTCGCGTAGCAGGGTACACGTGGAAATATATTTCGCAAATTTCTTGACGAATCATTCGATATCGGATGCGTTTCTCCCTTCGCTCTGATACATGCTTCTACATAGCGCAGAAAGAGAGAGAGAGAGAGAGCGCGCGCAATGATCCAGTAATGAATGGATTAAACAGCCTGACGTCACAGGATGGATTATATAAACGGTGGTGCGCGTGACATCGAACGTAGGAAGGAAGTTGGCTTCCTTTCGTACCTAGAAGGTATTCGTCCGTATGCACGTTCGTGCAATACATGCATACGCATAAGCGCGTACGCAAACGATTTCGTTGTCGAGGGGTCGTTCATTTAAAAGCGGACGAGCTTGGTTAGAATGCCGATGACGACAGTGCCGCCCCTTTCGAAACTTCCCTTCGGTGAAACTCTCTCCTTTCCGATACACGACGATCGATTTTGACCTGCTTTTTTTCACCTTCGATTGGCCGTACACCTACACCTACAGAGATTGTTTTCCTTTCTGTTGCAGATCTCGGATAGAAAGTCGTAAGAAATGTTTGGCTGAGAATGTCTGTTAGCTGTTTAAAGCCACGTTCCACGCAGTTGATAGAGAGTCGCGCGAGTATACGCGTGCCAGAAGCAAGGTATGCCTTCTAGGAACCCATCCTGCGATCCGTCGCGTCTAACTGTCGACTCTGGCCGGTATATTTTTGAATCCGCTCCGCCAAGGATTTAGTCGAATAGCGGCGCGCCGTACAGTAGAAACGATGTTTCGTAGTCAGACCGAGTGGACGACCCAGTTTTCGCGAAGCTCGTAATACGCGGAAAGATCTAGGCACGTGTTTATGGATCGAGACAGACGCGGCTCGTTTCTCTCCGAGGTCCACCGTGGTGGTTATTAACGCGTGTAGTCTGGGAGCCGTCTGCAGGTCGACGTCCGACGCGCAGAAATAGAAGCACCGCGACGCTCGTTACATTCCGTCACCTACAATCGCTGACCATCCTCGAAAGCCGCTGGCCAATTCGCCGCTGCCGATTCCACCAGTCTCGTGCACGCGTGCTGCATTTAAAACGGTCACGCGTGCTGTTTTAGCTCGACAAGACTACCGGCCACCGATCATCCGCGGCTCCTTCCGGTAGGCGCCGTTATATCGGGTCGTCTGGAACGCTCTTCCGCTCTCGTCCATCCGTTCGTCTATTCCGACCTTTTCCGCCGCACGGATTTCTTTTTCTTTCTTTTCTTCTTTCTTTCTTCCTCTCTTCTTTCTCTCGTAAATGATCCGGGTATCTGTGAAGATTTCACAGTAACGGTTTTTCACTTTCGTCCGGTGAAACGACGATTACCTCGGAGTTGGTTAACGGTCACCCTCCTAACACTGGAAGAAGGGCAGGTGTGTAGTCCGGTTTACGAGGGAAAAGGGCAGCTGCTCGTCTTAGACGCGCTCTCTCGGAGCAAGGGAAAGGAAGACGAAGAACGCGAAAGGAAGGGATGGGACGCGGTTCGCTGCTAAGGTAAACGATATAATAGGGACGTAACAGTGGGTCCTTTTTAGAGGCAGATGTCCTGTTCGAGACACGTGCCCATCCCGAGCTCCCTTTTTCGGGCCCACGGCCCCCAACTGCCTTCCTTCTTCATCGCGATTAGACCGAACGCGAGTGGGAATGCGAGCGGAAAAGCCTGAGAAGCGCTCTCTCAGTGTTCGCTCTTTTCGCTCCTCTCCTCTGCCGCGTCCGCTTCCGTCTTTTCTTTCGTTCTTCCGTCTCTCTTTCCCCCTCCCTTCTTTTTTCTTTTCTTCCACTCGCTCCTCTTTCTTCACCTGGACAGGAACACCAGCTGCTGCTCTCGTTACGACGAATTATACCGTTGCGTAGACAACCGCGTCGGCTATAATCACGACGACGACGAGCATGACTACAACGATTCAAACCAGCATCCATTGTGTCCCTCCGAGACTCATCCAGCGAGATCACAACGACGTTTCCAACATCCAGAAACCAGACCCTCTCTCCCGAAGTTACGAATCGAAAGGGAAGAAGATGAAGCGTTTAGAAGTTAGTTTCGCAGGGTCAAAACGGTTTTTACTGGTGGACAATCGCGAGAAGTTTGAAACGTTGTTGACCAAAGAGGAGCGAAAATTTGCGTAGCCGGTTTCTCTCGTCGCAGGCTGCCAGTTCGATGGATCGAAGATAGAAGACGTAGGGAGGCAAACTCTTTCAAACGGTCGAGCCCACGGTTGAAAGGTGCATTGAAGATTTCGTGGAAGCCGCGGTTCGT